GAAATATCATTCCCTAAGTTGCATCTAGAGAAATAGTTTTTCAATGACGGGTGAGTTAGTATGTGAAAGTCAAAATATCCTATAAATATCTTTGTATATATACAATAAAGACACACCATACTAACCTGACTGCAGGTTAAAAAAAATAAATAAATAAAATAAACAGTTTTTTAATGTTTTTTTTGAAATCATTTTAAAAATAATCAAATTTTTTAAATATCATGAAGCTAAAAAATATCTCAATTAGACAAAAATTTTTGTTATTTTTTTTTCTTTTTTTTCAATTCCTAATTTATTGTTTTTTAGGATAATCAATAGTAACAAACTATTGATAATAATTCTAATAGTTAAAGATTAAGTACTAAACTACTAGGGAAATATAATATTGTTCCTTAAATCTGACTTAGAGTATCTAATTGAAACTTAATCCAAACTAATTTAATGGACTCCTTATTCTTTAACTAATAATAACGAGTTAGTCGTCATGTGAAAGTCGATAGTTATTGTTTTTGATGATAATAAATCACCAACAAATCGGAGATCAGCAAAGAAGTTTGAGTAACCGTGTAACGTAGATAATCCTATTTTTTCGCTTTAACGTTGGATGGAAACGAAACTCGAAAAGGTAATAAGGTTAAATAGCCTATTTTATTTAATCAATATTATTATCAGAAATTACTACCTATGGAATTTCGAAATCTCCGCAATCTCCGAGATCGTCGTGTACTTGCCACCTATGAGTTGCGTAGTCTATTTACATAAAAAGTCACTGATCTACTTGCGAAAAACTTTTCATTTCATTCCTTGCATTATCTAGCTTCTGTATAAACCAGATTATTTACATCATATACTGTTATAAAAAAATGTCTTCACACGTTTCTTCACCTTCCTCGGTTAAAAAATTTAAGATGGAAGAGCTTATCGATTACTTGCGGAGAAAGGAAGACTTGGATCTAGATGATTTATCAGTTTTCTACGCAAACAAAAGATTTCGGGTTTCTCTTTTCTAAACATGACAGAAGATAAATTCTGTAGTATTGGTTTGCCATTGGGACCACCGATGGCGCTTGCGAAATCTACCAAGAATTTAGGACAGAAATTAAGAAGCTATTCAACGTATAAAACCAAGAAAGATCTTGAAGGTGTGATACAGTAAGTATTTCATTGTTATATTATTTTTTTTCTGAATTTGTGATAGCATGTATAATTTTTTATAGAAACAGAAGACGATGACGAAAAACTACAACATTGCATAAACGATTTAAAATATCGAATGTGTAGTAAGCAGTAACGAAGTCTTGCGGTGTGAATATATTTCTACAATTTTACATGCGGGTATTCATATTGCCAAAAGAATTACCAAAAAAGAATCTCTCTTGATCTGCAGTTTGAAATCATAGGTGAAGAAGTAACGGGCCGAGATGACTACGCTATCAAAAAAGTTTTCGATAACTTAGATGAGAAACTTATTTGTATTACCGAGGAAAAACAGAGCGATATAGCAAAGGATATATGCAAAATACCATGCAACTCGATAGCGGATATCACACAAACAAGAGAAAACGAAGCTATTGACGATGAATTTGATTATCCCTGCGGAGTCATCACCACAAGTAATCTGTGTAGATTATTTCGTGGGCCTGAAAAATTATTAATAACTTATGATCCAAACCATAGCTATAGATTGGCATTTCATCATGTATACACCTGAGAAGGTTTAACATACGAAAGCTATCTATAACGTTTCACTTACTGAGAATATTCTAGAACTTCGATGAGGTGTTAATTATTGGTCTGTTGAAGGATTGTGTCGATGTAGATGTTTCACCAGCCAGTAAAAAACTCAGAACTAGGAAATATATTTGTTGATTTATGTCAGAAAAAATAACGAGTTGATAGTTTCCCGCTTCACATGTATTTTATATTGTATAAATAATTTTTTTTTTCTGATCGTCTCCCTGGGAAACGGTTTTTGCCAAGAAATGATCAGAGTTACGAAAAATAACGCACACGTGATTTTTCAGGTTATGACGATCAAGCAAATATGGATAAAGTATAGAATTGTAACAGATGCGGAAAATGGTATTTTATGGAAATTGCACTAGGGAACCTTGTTCAAGTTGTCGAAGCTCTTATTTGATGTGTATGCTTGAGAAACGCATTATTAATTCTGAATTTTGTCACGGTGACTTATGATTTAATAATGCGACAGCATACGTGTTTTAATGGATAATCTCGTTACATACTTCATAAGTTGTATGCTGATCATCAATTCGAAATTAAAAAAAACAAATATGCTGTAACATTAGCTAGATGAGAGAAACGGCATTTTGCAATGGATATATATAAGGAAATGAAGTTTTTGTCGGAATTGGTTAATTTGCTATATGGCCGTTGCTGATGCAGGAAATTAACTATACTCGAAAAAATAAAAAGGAATTTCTCAATATAAAGTATTACTTATTAGTGAAAAGAGTGATCAAGGTCTTGCGGAATTTTGGTTCTCGTGTTACAGTCTTCCTTATCAGAGAATTCGAGTCTTTCTCGTTCTTTCATGATAGTAATATCACGTTCCAAAATATTCTTTCCATTTTTCTTTGCTAATAATAGCAGACATAGGGTTTTGAAGTTAAGTCTTGTGCAGGATGCTGATATATATAAAATAAAAATATTCCCTTGACTTGCTGCTTTTTCATATTCATTGTCAAATTTTTGTGAGAAACATTTCCGTTTACCTATTTTCATTGATGTGTTTCCATTTGTAGTTTACCTTCTTTATTGGACAAAAAGCCATTAGAATATTTAGTGTCAATCACAATAAGTTTTACTTTGCAATGTCAACCTTTTCGGTTTGACATAAAATTTTTGTATCTTGGTTATAATCTTTAAACTTGGTATGTTAATATAAGATTTTGAACAAATTTATATTTTATATTATTAAGAATAGTATAGAGATTAATTTGCTATTTATTATATTATAAAATATATAATTTAAATAACAAAATTATATAAAAAAGTATTCAAAATATTATTAATATTAGTAACTAGATAGGATGATAGATTCTTTATTTCTATTAAATATCTTTTTGTAATAAGTAAATCTTAATTTTGTAACAAGGTAGTATTTGTATTTTTATTATTTGTATAATAAATGATTGATAATTTAATTAGAATCTGATCTTTCAAACTGAATAAATCTAAACTAATGTATATTAAATAGTCTATTTTGTATTTTTTATTGAGTTCAAAAATACTATCATTTTTTTAACAAATATATGAAATAGAATAATAAAAGATATAGATCACAAACAATTAATTCTATTTAATTATTTCAAATAATTTTTATAAAAGTTATTTGCATATAATTTATTTGCTCAATAAAATTATTTATTTTGATCAAATTTTTATTATTGAGTATTTTTTAAAACCTTCAAAATATATTTATTATTTTTTATATATTAACAAATATTTTAATTATTGAATTATTAACAAAATTAGATTTTTGTTTATTTTTAAAGATTCTAATAATATAATTAAATAAAAAAAATTTTTAATTGAAATAAACCAATAAAAAAATTATAAATTGATATATTAATAATAGTTATACATGATTAATAATAAATAAACTAAAAATAAAAGAGATATAAAATACAAAAATAAAATTTTTTAAAAAAAACTATTTATTTTTTTTAAATCATAATTAAAAACAAATTTTAATAAATAATATAGTTAAAAAATTAAATCGAGATAAATAAGTTCCTTGAATAATTAAAAGAATAAAAAGTATCTTAATAAAATATATTTTTTATTAAAAAAATATTTAAAAATAAGTTTTTAAAAAAAAACACAAAAAAATTTTTCTTTTGTTTTCTTTTATATATTTATACAGTATATTTTAAATATATTTCTTTTCCCTTTTTAATTTACTATTTATTATAATTTTTTATATTTTAATACTTAATAATATGTATGAAAATAATAATCTGTTAATTATAATATTGTATATAGATTTAAAAAGTTTATTTTCAAAGTTTATTATGAAATAAAAAAATTGTTTTTAAGATCAAACTTAGAAACTTTTAATATTTATAATAAGCTAGTTAGACTTAATATATATTTAGTTATAATTTTTTTTTTAATGTAGCAAAGCCATACTTTATTGATTTAATTAAAGTAATAAAATAAGGAAAAATTTCTAACTTATATATTTAATCTATTTCTCAACTAAAGTAAACAATAGAATGAAAATTTACCTTATAACCATTACTATTTTATCAATATCAGGGAAACTAGTATAAAGACCATTAGTACTAAAATAAATTTTGATTCCTTAGGGAAAATGAATTAGAAGAATTATGTTCAAATTTACTGTATATCTATTACAGATTATATAGTCTGTTTTATTATTATTTTGATATTCTATTCTATTATTTCTATTTAGAAAATAAAATTGAAGATAATACTATATAAATTTAAACAGGAGTGAAGATTTTGCATTACAAAAAAAGTACTGAAAGGAAGAAAAAAGATAGATTGATTATAGGTAACTTGGAAATATACTATTACTACTATATTGATACAATGAGCTGATTACTTGCTGAGAGTTTAATCAGTTCAAGACATAGTACCTGTTCTTTTATTACTTTCAGTACCTCTATATTGTGATCCTTATTTGCCAATTCTTTACCTTTTCCTTCCATATCCTATTCAGTATGTGATCTTTTATTAATGTTCTTTTATATAGTAATAAATCAGGGGGTTTGAAGAGCTTTGGGATATAAGGAAGGTAAAGGAATATTGGAATAGTTAGGAGCCTATTATCTGATAATCTGCTCTTCTATATTATTGTGATAACTTCAGCCTAATAAGGAAATCTTAATACATCCAGTGTGTACCTTGTTAAATTTGATAAATATCATATTGTTTTCTTTAAAATATCACTATCTGTAAAAATTGAACCATTGTTTAATGTCTCAATATAGCATATTTTTCAATTATTTGAATTATTTAACTGCATGTTGGTATTATTTATTAGATATGAATGATCTTAAGATCTCTTTAATCTTTTAATATTCATGCTAATAAAGAATAAATATGACACTTTTAAGGCATTATTTATAGTTTGTATTCCTTTAAACCTTGTCTTTATTCTTTTTTTTTAATAGAGGAGAAGGGAGTATACAGTATATTCTTTTTCTTTTGTTTAATTAAAGATATAAGAGTTGACAGTATTCTTATCTATTCATATTAATAGAAATAATTTACAATAAACCTTAGATTTTTATAAATCTGAGAAAATGCATTAGATTACATGGAGTGACCAATAGGTGCTTATTTATATCTTTTGCTGATATAAAAATTTTTATTCAATTATGATATGAGAAACTTTGTGCTACTCAAAATTTAGGATTAAACTGAGGTAGACAAAATTCCTCAGAAAAATCTTGAAAGAACACTATTAGAGTATAACAAAGTAATGAGAAAGTAAGTATGTTAGCACTCCTTACTAAAAATCAAATGTAATGCTTCTCTATAGTGTGAGATAACTAGATATCAGTTCTTCTTCCTTTTTAGACTTTTTTGTCTTTGGTATAAAAGATATTACTTGATTTTTATTGGTTACAAGTGATCTAATTTTTGTTTGAAAAGGATTATAAACAAGAAGGTAAGGGTAGAGATAATTTCTAAAGATAAATTTCAAGTTTGTTTAAGAAAAGTATTAAGACTTTATTAGCAAATAAGTAAAAGAATTTCTTGCAAACATCTTTTTTGTGTGTGGTCAGAGAATCAGCAGAAAGAGTTTTTGATATATTTAGTTATAATATGTACTATACTGCTTGAATAAATATATAATTTTTGTATTCTTTTAATTAGCTTGCTGTGAATAATATAAAAAAAATTAAATTATATAAATTATTATTTTATAATAAAAAAAATATAAATAATATTTTATATTTAAAATATTGGCATTTATTTTTGACTTCATATGTTTATTTAATAACCATGCTATGACAAGTAATGTAAAAAGAATAGTTAATAGGACAAGATGACTTTTAAAACTTTATATAAGTGTTTTGTAGGTTTATTATAATAAATACAATAAAAAGAATACTTGATAAAATAAGAAAAAATTGATATTGAAAAGGGTATTAACTGATTTGTAAGAGTATAGACTTGTTGTCTCTAAAAAAAGTTATACTTTGATGTTGTATTTGATTTTCAAATCTTCACCTTTGATAAGAATATTCACCGTTCATAGCTCCAGATAGTTGGAGCCAACATTAACAAAGGCATTTTCCTTCTTCTTTTTGATAAATAAATGTATCTTCCTTCTTCTTCTTGATAAGTTCAAAAAACAATTGTGTTTAAAATAAAGAAAAATTTTCAGTTCACGTTCGCGGTACGTAATCTGGCGTACTTATAAATTAATGATAAATCACATAAGGCTTGGTAATCTGACTTATCGAAAAAACTATGTATAAATAAGGAGACTAAATAGAAAATATCGAATTTATGTGCACTTTGCAATCAGAAAAAATTCTTATCATATCACAGTCTGAAGGAAAATACAATTGTGATTCACACTGTGTGCATTGTTTAAATATCTGGCATTTTTGTCGCCTTCAAAAACAATTACCCATATAAGGTATACGCTAACTTTTATAAAATTTACTGTATATAACACGTTTATTTATACAGGAGTTTGATATTACGTAATTTAATAAATTGTGCGATTCCAGAAAAACGTACGCATATTGTGGTACATTGAATGAAGAAAAATTCCTGCGACACCTTAGAACATACAGTATTTCTTTTTTAGCAAATTTTCAATACTACATTCTGGGTATACTTTTTTTTAAAAAGAAGTTCTTTTATTTACTATATAACGCCCAAGATCTTGTTTTCCTACATTGATGTACTAGACAACACATGATAAATCATTTTTTAAAAAACAAACTTTGATGTTGATAACGTATTTTATTATTTTTAAAAGCAACCTTTATCGCCAATGTGATTCATGTAATTTATGTTTCAAGAATCTGTCATTGAACGATAAAAGTTTTGTTTTACGATGTCAACATATTTAAACTCACACTTATTTCCTTAATTTATTATCATATTATCCTTATATTTAAATAACTAGATAGTTGGGGTGCGCAAAAAATTCGAAAGTGGTAATTTTAATAATGAAACGAAAACTAAAACGAAAACGAGACGGAATCGAATTGTTGTGAAACGGAAAAAAAAAAAATAGGTTCTTGAATATTTTCGCATAAATTTTTCGAAGGTTTAAAAATAAAGCATATATGGAGATGAGCATATATAAAAATCACGGAAGGAAGGGAAGAATATATATAAACATTACGGAAGGAAGGGAAGATTATATATAAAGTATGACGGAATAAAGGGAAGAGTAAAAAAATCAAAGGTGAAAAGCAAAACCAAGATGTCATGCCATCTATCCCATTTTCAGGGAACGAAAAGATTTCAAAAGGGAGGCGAATTAAAGATATGATAACATTAGGGATATCGAGTTATTGGTCAAAGGCTTTTATTTATCATAAATAGCGACCACAATTGACTGCAATCGAAGGTTCCCGGAAAAATACGGGTGTTTCTTCATGACAAAAAATTAAAGGAGTTTCCACGTGAGAAAATAGAGTCGTCGAAATTGTACCACCGGTCGTTTGATCATGAGGAAGAACGCTCTTGCATGCCTCGAGGGAGGAAAGTGATTCGTCCAAAATTGGGGAGATTGCGGAGGTCGTGGGGACAATGACGGGAGATAATGAGGAATTGGTTGCAGTAGAGAGTGGTTGAACTTTCAATGAGCGATGTTGTTTTTCTTTGTTGGATCTTTTTCGGTGTTGTTGGGATTGAATTAGTTCATCGTAGTTTTCGGAATTCATGATGATAAAGTCGTTGGTGTTCGGGAGAGTCGCATATTTCTTGGGGCGATAATCGTATTTTGGAAAATAAAACGAATGTATCTTTTTAAATTCATCCTGCAAGTCAAGAAAAATCTTCCATTCCTTTTTGTTTGCGCCCCATCGTATTAATTGACAAATTCTGGTGCAAGACTGACCATCTCCAAGGTCAACGTTTCTGCAGGAATTTGAGGCGACCATTCTCACCACATGAGTCAGTATCATGAAAGAATTCATAGGTCGTGGGTCATTCTTAGTACGACGTCTCGATCTCGGATAAATTTGGTGAGCTTTTGTGTGAGGATTAAATATGAGAGAATGTGGAAGGTCGTGAATAATTTTGACCAACGGAAAATAATGTTCTGTCGGCAAGTCACCGTGTTTGTTTATGGCCAATTTTCCTTCCCATTGTGCCCTATACATTATGGTTGAAAGTTCTCTACGTGCGAAGGTGAAGGATTTACTGAAGAAAAAACCGAGTAGAGGATGCGCTTCTTTTATAGGAAATGTTCGATAATTAATAGTAGTAGAAATTTGTGCTGATGAAATGAATTTTATTTGTTCTCATCAATTACGCTACTTATTGATTTCACCATTCTATTATAGTTTACTCGATATTTCTATTGGCATTATTAATATTTTAACTTAATTTAATTTTCATTTTTATTTATTCTATTTATTTTTATTATTATTATTTATTATCTTTTTTTTTTTTTTAATAAAGAGAAAAGTAAGACACTTGTTCCTTAGGATGAATGTATTGTATGGTTTAATCATCCGAATATACTGCGTTTATACTGTATGTATTGTATAGTTAAGTGTGATTATACAAGTGATAAGAAATAATCACCCAAATATTGCGGTATGTATTATTAGCTCCGAGAAAATACTAGGGTACCAATTAGGTCCATACATGAATTATTTAATAAACACAATTTAATTAGATGTACACAATGATTGTTTTAATAGTTGGAATTCGAAAGCTTACAGTATACATATTTACATTAAAGACTCAATATCCGAGTTTTGAAGGTCAACGAATCTGTCTAGTGTCTCTACCAGGATTGATTACTCATACCTTTAGATAATCAAAAAGTTTCGGAGCTAACTAAAGAAAGAAAAAGAATTATTACTTTTCATATTATTTTCTTTTCTTTTCTTTTCTTTTCTCTTCTATATACGTGCGTATACATACGTAACTTTGAATCGAAATATAATTTGTTAATGTATATTCACGGAGTTTAAAAACCGAAGTTTCCATATCAGAAATACCAACCTTTCATGACCCCAAATCGCCTTCTCCCGGACCTAACACAACGGCAATCTTAGAGGGGATCTAATATGCATTAGTAAATAGTAAAAAGTTATATAGTTTAATTCTTATATCCCATACGTTTAGTATGTTTAGACCGTCTAAATGTGTTTTACTGCAAGGCATTGCATAAAAAAAAAAAAAAAAAGAAAGAAAGAAAGAAAGAAAAAAAAACATATACAGTATATATATTGTAACCGATTATGCCCACCTTCCATAAGTGGTATTGCCTTAACTCCGTCAGTATATGTGCATACAGTAAGTGTACGGTTAGATTCCGCAATTCTCTGTTACACGTAAATACCAAAAGGTGGAATAAATTTAGACGCTATGCTAAATAAATGTGTCATATGTAAAAAAAAAAAGAAATATAATACATATTAAGTGAAAAAATGAGAAATCTCGTTTTTTTAATTAATGAGATCTCCAGCATTATCACAGTCAACAATTCTTTTTTTTTGGTGCCAAAATTTTTTTCTCACCACACGTGTACAGTATGCGTTTGGTGAATCATTTCCCTCACATTTGACTCTGGAGTATAAATCTGAAGGTTTTGACTTGGCAGACGTACAGTATTTTAGATCCTACAGAATAAGGTAATCCGTTTCCGAAAGATCTGAATATTCTATCTGGAAAAAATCACACCATCTTGCGATTCTTTTGAGGAAATAAAGTTTAAGATCACGACTTCGCTTTATAATCATTAATGGTGCACGATACCCGATCTTCCTTGCATGCGTACATTCTCATGGAAATCATCAGAATAGATCGATGGGAGCAATAACTCCGCTTAATATTCAGCGCAAATCCTGGTGGTGTAAAGTTTACCCATTCGTTGTAACCGAAACGGCACTTGCAGCTGTTTCATTCACCATCAATATTCTCGCGTTTCACTCTCATATTGCCAGCTACCTATTCTATAATTTCTGCAAAAGCGGAATTCTATTATTTTAAATTTCCTTGACAGAAACTTAGTATCAATGCATTAATAGAAATTTAACAAGTGATGGAGTCCGGTATTAAAATAGACATGGTGTAATACGATAATTGGGGCAGTAATCAACCACTATCATATACTAACATTTCTTGTAATCATTCCTTTATGGAATTTAGAATATTAAAGCTTGATATTTAAATGTAAGATTTAAGTTTAAGAGGTTGGCAATCGAGAAACATTTGAAATTCTTTTTTTAAATAATCGCTTGCAAGAAACCGATTATACATTAATTGCACTTTTTCTTTTTTCTTTTTTAAATTCCATATGAGACACAGCAGATGCTGAATGTACGGATTTTATTAGTTATTATTATCATTTCTATTTATAAAACCTTTTCTTCAGAATATGATTTGCTTAGAAT